AACTTTTCAACTAAAATCTTAGTTTAAAATTCTCAAAATAATCATTCAACAAAAATAAACCGATTAAAATTCCTTAATAATGTATTTTTAAATTTCTACGGTCATATGTTGTCAAAACTCCATATTTACTCTATACCCAAACAGTAAAATTTTCTCTAAACATTATAATGATACTAATAATATAAAGTTCTAAATATATAGGAAATACTGATAAAGAAAATATGATAAAAAGAAGCATATTTATATACCTAAATGATTCCCAAATCTTGCCTTGTCCTTCTAACAGCACGTACTTTCACTCACTCTTTTGTTTTCTCTCTGCCTTTCTCACTCTCTCTTTCTCTTCCGTCTCCTGCTCCCCCTCTTTTAAACTCACTCCTCTCAACTTCCAACTATCCCTCCTCCCGTTTTCTTCATTCATTTATTGTTTTCCCAAATTCTTTCTTCATCCGTTCCTTTCTTTCTTTTTCTTGCTCCATTTAATACTCCTCCCTTCTTTTCAACTTACACCACTCCCTTCCCCCATCTTTTCCCTTCTTAATAAATCCCCCCCCCCCAATTTTCAACTCTCCGTGAAAAAAGGGGGGTTGGCTTTTTTTTTTTTACTAATAAAATATTATATATATTTTGATTTGCAAATTTTTTTTAAAAAAAGTATGTTACAACTTGACTTTTATTTTAACCTTAAATATAAGACTCCATTCCATTTTATCTCTCATATTTATTCTTTTTTCTAAGGTAGTCCTTTTAATTATAGTAGTTCTAGCCAATACACTTGATTAGTAAGGATATTTTAAGAAATATAACACCTATTTATAACAAATAACTAACTTAATTTATTTTCTTAATCTACTTAAATGAGTTAATTAGCTTTTATATTTAGGATCGGAGATAGTATGTAATAAGAGTTTTGTCTCCGTTTATGCGAATTTGAGTGTACCTATTATAAGCAAATCCAAATAAGTACTACATCAATAAAAAAAAAAAAATACGGAAAGCTTAAAAAATGTATGACTTTTATAAAATGTCCACATCAGCAAATTTTTCCCAAGGGGCTGGATATCAGATACGGAAAGCTTAAGTTAGGAACAAATTAGGGGATAAATGTATACCAAAAAAAAACGGGGGATAAATGAAAATAACTGGCATATGACGACAATGTTATAGTCAATTGGAAAATATGACTTTTCTAATTTTTGTCATCCAAGTTAGCCTTGTTGTCAAGTAATCGTTGAAAGAAGTTAAAACTGAGGACCTAATTTGAAAATTAAATTTTAGTAAAAATAATTGTATGGGCTTATATAATTTAGGGCTTGTTTGGAATGGTGGTAGAAGCCTTCAAATATAATTTTTTTAGCCGTAATTTATGAAATACGAAATAAGTATATTAAAGAAGTTTTGTCTTAATTTATATAAAAGTACTTATAAACATTAACAAAAGCAGATTCAAATGAGCCCTTAATCAATTTAAGTTGCGAGTTTCTACAAAAATATTATTGAAAGTATTATGATTTCTTGAAGGCAAATAAAGCTTTTTTTAACCTTGATAATAAATTAAAATAAATATTTGGATGTAGTTATTTCTCGAACGTAGATAACATATGATGTTCAAAGTTTTTGAGTTAAAAATAACAAAGTCTAATATAATATATTTATGGGTTAAAGTATAAGTTTGTTCTGAAAAATTTTAGTTAGGAGCACTAAATATCTGTAAGTTTTTTTGGATTTAGGTGTTACTCTGAAAGTTTCCAAATCGCAGCAATATCATCCTAATTGTATCAAGGTTAAATTTGACTGTTAGTTATAAAGCTAATACATCCATGTGTCATCATCCATTTTATTTTTTTACAAGGTGAGAGTTCAACACTAATTCCAAGAAAATCTTTTCTTTTGAGCCTTTTTTTTTTTGGGTCCAACTTTTCTTTTGAGCCTTTTAAGAGGTTGTCCATGGGTTATTCCCAATATCGATCCGGTTGTGTCCGCATTGCAAGAATCTTCTCGAGTTTCCGTTTTACATATGCTGTCTTCTTTTCTTTCTTTTTTTTTGGCTCTATTTTTGTGCTCAAAAAGTTTACCAAACTAAGAGTGGATGGTGCAATCAAACCAAATTTAGTATATTAAAATATTTTTTAGTAGTATTTAATATCCTAAAATAATTTTTGCTACACTTAACACCCATGCTAAAATATTTTTCAGTAATACCCAGTATCTTAAAATAATTTTAATACATCTAACACTTTAAAATATTTTTATAGTAGCACTTAGTATGCTAAATTTATGATGCCCGTAGCTATTGAAAAAAATATATTAAGAATAAAATTGCACTTATCATCCTAAGATACTGAGTGTTGCTGAACAAAATATCTTAAGATACTAAGTGCACTAAAAATTAGTTCAGAAAGTATTGGGTTCTATTGAAAAAATATTTTAAAACAGGTGTTGAGTGTATCAAAAATTATTTTAGGATATTGGGAGTACATCCAAAATTATTTTAGGACATTAGGTATTACTGAAAAAATATTCTAGGACAGGCATTGAGTGTACCAAAAAATATTTTAAGATACTAGGTTCTATTCTAAAATACTAATTGAAATTAGTAAAAAAAACGTTTACCTATTTCACGCTCAAAATGGTGTAGTTTTGGGTAGAGGAGGAGCAACGGACGCAAGCAACAGTGGAGAGAAGTGAGTTCCTCTAGGGTGTGTTTGGTACGAGGGATTGGATTTGAAAGGGAGGAGAGGAAGGAAGAAGGATTTTAATCATTTCTCTTTGTTTGGTAACATACAAATTTTAGGAGGGGAGGCCCTCCAAAATTAGAAGGATTTGGAGGAAAGGGACAATATTTTGTCATGTTGTGACTATTATGCCCATATTTTGTTATGTTGTGACTATTATGTCTATATCTTAAATAAAATAAGAGCAAAATTATCCATATTAAAATATTTTTTTCTTCCCGTCCCCTCATGAACACAACAAGGTAATATTAAGACTCCTCCCCTCTTCTCTTTTTTTATAAATCCAAACAAAGTAATATTAAAATTCTTCTACTCTCCTTCCCTCCTCTTTCCTCTATTAAAATCTCCCATCTTCTTCCTCTCATTGAGCCAAACAGATCCCTAAAGACCCCATTATCCGCAGAGCACACTGTTGTTCAGATAAGCTACTGATCTCATTTTGCAGCCCCCCAAACCCACAGCTTGCATGCACTTCATTTTGGCTATGACCTGATGTTTGGAGGGAGAGTTAATACACATTGCACATTTTTAGTTTATATCTTAATTTATAAGTTTTCTGAGATTTTTTTTTGGACTCATCCATATCATGAAAAAAATTCAACAGAGTTTTACCTTAGCAATTGAGAACCTAACATAACATTTCTCTTTTATCCAGATTTGAGATTCACCACAAAATATAGGCAAAATTATTGAGTGAGATCTTTTGATTAATAATCTTTTTAAAAATTTAGTTGTTAACAGAATACAATAACATTTTGTCGTTTGCATAACTGGCTCTATTTAATATGATAAAATTTTATTGTTGTTGTTTTTAGTAAGATTTTTTTAATGAAATAGCTTTAGATAGTGCATTAATGATTGACATGCTTTTTCTTTCTTTAGATTTTTTTGCCAATTTTTTAAGATTTTTATTAACACTGCTTTATGCTAATTGAAATTAGCAACAACGTCCCTTAACGTTAACAACATTAACAAAAAAATATTGATAAAATATTATTAAATACCAATATATTAAGTTTAATTTTTAAAATAACTCCGATTGTTGCCAAAAAAATAATGTGACTTTAATGATGTTAGGATTGAAAAAATAAAAAAAATAATTATTTAAAATTAAAAAAGACTAAATTAGAACATTATATTTATACTCCCTTGGTTCTATTTATAAGCTTTAAATTTAGGAAAGAGTGCTGTTTATTTTATAAGCTTCCATTTGATATTTGTCTTAATATTTAATATGTTTCTTCTGATTTTGTTTTTAATTATTTATTCTATCTTTTTTATTCTCTCTCTCATCATATTTTTTTCATACATTCTCTTTTATTTTTTTTCATTTATTATAAGAACATATTTTAAAAAAAATTATTTTAAATCTATTTATTACTCTTAACAAATTTTAATTAACAATTCGTTATTCATGAATTAGTTTTTGTAATGAGTATTTTTTCTTTAAAATGTGCCAATGAAGCGCATTCATTAGTATACGAAAGAAAGTGTTATAAATGGGGATGCCTATCTCTCTTTTCTCCTTAAGTCACTCTCTATTTATTTATTATTCTATTAATTAATCACTGACATTTGTGGGTTTTATTATGCCGTTTATTATTTAACATAAGCGTACTTTATGTGTTAAATTATGTGTATAAATAAAACATGTGTATCAAATTATGGCAAAAAAAAAAATGTAACGATATGCCTATAACACAAAAGATGAAAATTATCCAATAAGATATTTCTATTTTTTTCTTTCTCGTTAGGCTGACACTACCTCCCTGGTTCGTTACCCAATAAAATAATTAGTTGATTAAGAAAATTAGTTAAATTAGTTATTTGTAATAAATTGTTATTATTTTCTCTAAAATATTTTTATTAATTATATGTGTTAATTAGTATTACCATTTAATAAAACTTTTAACATGTGTAATTATGAAAACCACTTTGAGGAAATAAATAAATAAGTATGATAAAAAAAATGTATTAGGATCTTATGTTATATCTGTAACCAAATTAAATGTCAAAATTAACTTTTATATTGAGAATTGTAGGTAGTATTATTTATTGTTAAAATATATAATTGTGTTAAATTTAAAATCTTTTATAATAAGCATTCTTAATTTTACCTGTGTTCCCGAATTGCAGCAGCCAACAACCCTTTTCCAGTTTCCCCCCCACTTTCTTGAAAAATAATTATTTATTGTTAAATCATTTGATTTGCATTTTCCGTTTCTTTCATTTCCTGTTTGGATTTGGTTACACCGTTTATGAAAAATCAAATTTTGCAGTCGCCAAAGTGGATTGTTTGACGGAGAAGGGGAAGGATCCAAATGAAAGCCCGACGACGTAGGAGACCAAGTAATAGTCCGAATTCCATTCAATATATCATTTGCCGCACCAAATCAACAACATTTCTTCGAATTTCTCTGCATGTTTCCCAAGCTTTTTGAATTCCAATTTCTTGATTCCTTCCCGGGAAAATCCTTGAACCTCCCGGCAGATTATACCATGGCTTTGATTCAACAGCTCACCTCTTTCGACTGGCAGCAAGAATCAGACCCCTCATCTCGGGATTTTGTTGCTATCCCCTTGTTCGCTCTTTTCTTCCTCTCCGTTCGCTATTGTCTTGATGGATATGTTTTCGAGGTACACAATGAGGCATGCTTTTTTCACCGTTTCATTATTTCTCTCTCTTTCTTGTGTCTTTGATCGATAGCGGGCTAATTAAGAAAAAATGTTTCCTTTTGTGGTGCTTAGTGGGTTTGCAGTTAGTGATTTGTGTTCACCTACTAGTGGGTTGGCATTGAATGTAAAGACTGAGGAAAATTTATTCAGCGATTCATTATCTCTGCTCCTTTCCTGTGCATTTGATGGAAAATGAACTAAAAAAATATTTGTTGCCCCTTTTGCTGGTTTTTTTTTTTTTTTTGGGTACTGGCAGTTTGGTTGACCTTTGTGTATTGGATAGAATGTAAACACCAGCTCTGAAATTCTTGTAACTTTGTTTTAAGCAACGTGGTTTCAGTTTAACTGAGAAAAGGCAAATCTTGATGCTCATTCTGAATTTCTTAAAACATGTTATTATCTTGGTTGTTGGCAGTCCAGTTACTTCCCAGCGATTATCTTAACATTTTAAACTTCTATATTGAGAGCCAACTCTATATTCTGGTGAAAACATTTCATCTTTTTGTTGCTTGCAGCCATGCCATGGGCATTAAAAAAATGGTTTAAACACCATATGATGTGAAATTACTTAAGGTTCACCTAGCATGATATGCTATGTGCTTGAGGATTATAAATCAAAGTGAATCTCAGTCCCACAAATGCCATAATTATTCTCCATATAAGCTTTGATCAGGACTTTTGCACTTTTTGCCTCTTTACGCCTGCAACATGAATTGATAATGTTAAATTCTTATTTTGCTTTTAAGGCATGATGGCTATGGGTTATGTTGCCAAATACATCTGTTTATCAGAACACTGTCACTCTCTAAAACTTATTTACTCCTTGAGACTTTTTGGTTATATTTTACCAATCTGAATTTAGCTTCATTAACAGAATGTGGCCAGACGATTAATGTTCGGAAAGGGGCATGAGATACTGGATTTTCAGACAGATGAAAGAAGGAAAAAGATTAAGAAATTCAAGGAATCAGCATGGAAATTTGTTTATTTTCTATCAGCGGAGATTCTTGCTTTATCTGTTACTTATGATGAGGCTTGGTTTACTAATACAAAATATTTTTGGGTGGGCCCAGGGAATCAGGTCTGGCCAGATCAAAAGATTAAGTAAGATTCATTGTAAAGCCAAATCAATAATGCTATTCAGTTCCAGTGTTTCATTTATTTTTGTAATCATTTTCCGTTTCTGTTATGATTTTATGGGAACTTTAAATGTTTGGTAGTGATAATTTCTAAATGTTTCAGGTTGAAATTAAAAGCACTCTACATGTATGCTGCTGGATTTTATACATATTCCATATTTGCTTTAATATTCTGGGAAACACGGCGTTCTGATTTTGTGGTGTCCATGAGCCATCATTTGGCTTCTCTCATTCTCATTGTGTTGTCCTACATTTTGAGGTATGCTTTCATAAATTTTTATTTGTTTTGTTATACAGCATCTCTGCTGAGTATTACAATTTGGGTCATACTTATTTTTTGATTGCCTAATGTATTTGAATCTACTTTGTCATACATTCCTTATCAAAAGAGTTCAGTTTTTCAAGAGCTTCATTTGTTACTTGCTTCTATTTTCTAATAAATTTTTATTTCCTTTTGTCTTCTACGTTTGATATTTCAGGTTTTATCGAGTGGGGTCAGTTGTTTTGGCTCTTCATGATGCTAGTGATGTGTTTCTGGAAATAGGAAAAATGTCTAAATACCGTGGCGCTGAAGCGATTGCTAGCATTTCATTTATTCTCTTTGTTTTATCTTGGGTCCTATTGCGCCTCATTTTCTTCCCATTTTGGGTAATCAGGAGTACAAGGTTTGTATTTGTTGAGTTCGTAAATTACAATTTTTCTGGTTCATAACTTTCCATCGTGTCTCCTATTTACTTGCATAGGATGAATAATAACATGATGACATTTTTTTTTTTTTTTTGGAAAAGGAAGTAACATCAGGTTGTTATATAATGAGTTGTGGATGATAGCTTTTTGAAAAGCTGATGCTCTTCAGTTTCAGTCATTTGTATTAAAAATGGTCACCCCGAGAATATCTGTAATGTTTTCTTCATGCATTCTTGACACTATGGAATTGTGTTAACTCAACTGCTATACAGCTCTGCAAAACTGTATGTTCCCGTCTTAACTTCTGACGATAACAATAATTTTTTCAAAATATGTTTTTGTGCCTTTCAGAAATGAATCCTTAAAGTGGAGAAGCCTTTAGCAAACAATTATGCATTGGTGAACAGCGTTGTTTCACTGTCGACTCTTTTTGCAAAGCAGTTATAGTTTAGCAATATTACCTTGTGCACCACTAAGTTGATGATAAATGCTTTCATATGTGAACGAGTCATTAATTTTCCAATTTTACTTTGGGTTGACTCAGAATTTATCTAAAATAATTTTAACTTGAGATGAATCATTGTATATAATTTGTCCAGGACAACGTTTGTGCCTAAATTTTGCTATGATTATTAAAACAACAAATTTTTTTTTCTGAGTTAGCTGGAAGTTTAGTGGTTCCCTGTAATTTCCTTTGATCACGTATTGTCATTCCTTTGTTCAATGTCTTTGCTTGTTTTCTGGCAGCTATGAAGTTCTACTGACATTGGATAAGGAAAAGCATGCGGTGGATGGTCCAATATGTTATTATGTGTTCAACAGCCTTTTGATCTGCTTGCTTGTTATGCACATTTATTGGTGGGTGTTGATGTACCGCATGCTTGTTAGACAAATCCAAGACAGAGGAAAACTTAGTGAAGACGTTCGATCTGGTGAGTTGAAGAGGAAAACGCGTTTATCATTGCATCAGATAATACTTGATTGTGCATATCATGTGTTTTCATTCTGGATTCCAACAAAGATACCTTGAGTACCTTGATCTCAGTAAATATTTTAATCCATATAACTTTGCATATTAAGGGGCCTTTTATCTGTTTCTTGATATAGATATCTATACCTCTTTGTCTGATCCAAAATTTCTTCTTTTCACCTTTTTCTCTTTATGCAGATTCAGAAGGCGAAGATGAACATGAAGATTAAGCAGACAAACAATATCTGCGTGGGTAACACGAACGGAAGACATAAGTGAGTTTTGAGACTCCCTAGACATCTATGCTAGTATTGTTTTGTGTAGGTGTAGGAGGATAATATGAAGTTTCCCACGAGACAGTGTAACTGTAAACTACATACGGGATGTAAAATTATTTCCACTATTAATTGATGCTAACGGTTAAAAGATCAAAAGACAACTACAAGAACGCTGAATCTATGTTCTATATCTTGCTTATCATGTGCGTACTATCATCTTTTGTGTTGGCACACTGGAATTTGCGCCAAATATCATGTAACCAATTTCCTGTGTTATCTGTCAAAAAAATGAAGAAAACAGAAACTAACGTACAACAGCGATATATTTTTTTCCAAAAAAAATTGTCTTTTCATGCTTTGTGATTATAAGTTAAAACCACCATCGCAAGAGCTTGTTGGCCAATGATTAATACTGAATGATATTTGCACTACTTCACAAATTTGTGAGTTGCTTGTTGGACAACTGTATGAGCATGTTGTGAATGTGAGGATTGTAACTGTAATGAAAAAGGTTAAGCCGAAACACTACAATGAAAAGTCTTCCTGTTTTTTGATGGCCCAATTTGCGTTTGGAGAAAATTGATTCTGACATGAATCTACGGTTCATACTACACAAATGCAACTTCTTTTTTTCATCTGATGTGCAACACCATTCCCCCCCCCCTCTTTTGGTAATGATATGCGGCCATTTTTGTGAGATTACCCTATTTGACTTGATCACTTTCTTTTCTCATTATCTTTCTCTGGCTTGATGATATGCAGCTATTTTTGTGAGAAGGTCCTATGGGGACTAGAGAAAAGGACACCTAAGTGCATCCAATTCTTCTGTCAGATTTGCGTGGTGTAAGCCCTGAAACGTATTTATTTATTTTCTAAAAGATTCTAGTTGAGACAGGGCTACTGAGAAAGCATACTCTCCTGTTGCTGCATTTAAATTCTATGTAGGCAATGTATGAAAATGTCAATTTGTTTGTCTGATAACCAATGTTCTGTATTTCGCATGTGGGTTAAACACGCGCGCACACAGAGCTATACTAAGCGACTTGATAAATTGTTTAGCTTAAGCCTTGTGGATGAAACAAAGCTTTGTTGGCCTTGTGGACGAAACAAATCTTTGTTGGACTCTTCAAAGAGCTTTTTCCAGTTAGGGTGTTATTTGCCTTGAAGCCAAATGAGTCCACATCATCAAATACCGAAGGGTTTGTCAAGGAAAGAAAAGGTAGGTTATCGTCTATCTTAATCCGATGTTGCAGGTACAGATGCCGGAGTCAGTTTTAGTACCATGGCAGGACTGAGCATCATGTTCATTGCTGTTGTGAGACTTTATCCCATCCAAATGTAATTTCAACAGTCTAAATTTAAAAATTTATATTAAAAATATAAAAATAACATTATATTAAATCTGAATCTTCACTGACTTGCAGATCAAGAACGAATCCCACATCATCAAATTTGGTGGAGAGGTTTGATGATGATTGCAACACCTCACTTTTATATACTAATAGGATCATTTTAACGTCTGTGAATCACTAACGACAGGTTTCCGTCCTGGGAAAAGACAGGGAATTTTTTTTTTCTTTAACATTGGAATCCGTTGATCAAATATTTCAAACCTTCAGATAACTGATTAGTGATCCAATATCAACCCTGCTTTTAACTCAATCTATTATCACCTAAAATAATTTCATACTATACAATCTTATAATATTATATTAAAAATAAAGCAACGCTTTTGGTTGACAGCATATACGTGCACCTGGCAATGCTCACCTCTTTCTTCTAGAGGATACAAAATAATATTTCTATAAAGCAAGTAAAGTTACTTGCCCAAATATTTTGCTATAAAATTTACAGAATTATAATAGGTATCTCTGCTCTTCAACCAGCCCATCTTCTTCTTAAATAACCTCCTTGTCCTTCTAGCTACTAGCCTTCACTGTTCATCATAAATTGGGGGGTGAGATTCCGAAGAATCCTCGTAGTAGTAATTTCCATCAAACAAATGTGCAGATCACATAAAGCATGCAAAACAAGCCAAAGTGGAACATAACCTTGCAAGCTAATGCAATTAAGCATTTATGCGCAATGACAGATAGACAAGCTGATTAAATAATGCGCAAATCATTGGCAATCACTGCCGCGCAAATAATTGGCAATCACTGCCCCATGTCTATTAGACAAGCTGAATAAATAATGCGCAAATAATTGGCAATCACTGCCCCATGTCTATCAGCTGCACGTGATCACGGCTAAAAATCCATGCAAGGAATTAAGGATTACATGTTCTCATGCTTTTTGAATAGCAATATGGCACAAACAGACATGCAGCAATCATACACAAGTGTAAGGGAGGAAAGAACTACTACCTGGTCCGCATCCCTCCAAATCAAACCTTACCATTCTCCTTTCTTTCTATTTCTTGGTGGGCTTGAGCAGATATAAAAACCTATCATATTAGTAAGGTAGATCAATACTTCATCCAACTGTATCTCATAAATTAAATAACTCTTTAAATCCCAAATCTTCTTTAATCTCTACCCTTACGTAGCAGTTGATCATCCTGGACAATTTTTCTTATTCAAACTATGGAGGGTTTCCTTCCTTATCTCAACCCATGCAGTTACTTTACTTTTTTTCTTATTCCACCAAATAATTTAATCTAACACTCCAAAATAAATCTACAAACCTTTCTAGTTATTATTAGCAACTCATATACCTTTAAGATCCTTGCTTAACTTCAATAATTCGAAAATTCCAACTTTCCCAATTATGAATCTCACGGACAACATAGCAACCAAACAGCAATTAACTTTAATTCTCACTCAATCCTTCAATCCTTAAAACTTCCCAAACTTCAAACATCTTGTTTCAATTCCTAACTTAAATCCGGAAGCTTTGAGATTTAAGAACAATATTCAAATAACCATTTTCAAAAGCTTTAAATATACTTAATTACTTCAAGCATTTAAAGATTCTTGAACACTATGATCGATTAAATCTGGAACTTCCAGTCTTGAAACATACCTTTCAAGAATCAAAACTCCACATACAAACCCATAAATCAAATACTACATGTTTGGCCCTTGTTCTTTATTTTCTTAAAAATGTACCTAAAGCCAATAGTTACTCTTTTTCCTACATTGCAAGGTTTCAGATTTCAATTATAACCCCACAGCCTAACCTCCTCCTGAACAACAATTCCAGATTCCATGTTTTCCACTCCTAACTTCCACGGTCAGCACATACAACAATCATGAATTCATAAGTATTCTCTTATACACCCTCCAAAACCTCAATCCAAACAGTCATGGCATCCCCCGCGCACAGAATATATATATATTTAGCTTATTTACTCTAGCATTTAAGTGTTTCATTCCCCTCTATTATCCAAAACTAAAACAGCAACTTCACAAATACAACAGCCCCTGTCTCGGTACCTATAAACCAGAGCAAATAACACATACACCCAGAAAATTTACACAGCTATACTCACTTCGTCCATGCTATGGAACCCGATGCCAACTCAGCAAGATAAGACGACACCATCCTATTTGTAAAAATCACAGATTTGAACTTAAATCCTTCGAGCTTCATCATGCAGAAACCACAATCGCGTGCAACAGCAAATCTTACTTCTATATAAACCACGTTCTCAAGCTTCATTATATCCACACATGATATACGGCAACTAAGGTCGAAACCTTTCCTATACATGCATGCACGAGTCTGACACTATATATATATATATATATATATATTATTCCCAAGCCATATACCCCTGTTTCGGTAAGTCAAAAACAGAGCAGGGAACCCACATGCAAGCCGAAAGATACATTCCATTATCATCAACAAGCTCTTCTCTTCAACCCTTCTCATGATTTAAATTCGTTCACAGCTTTCACTCACTTAACTCCCCCCATAAACAACAACCCGTGAAGAACTTAAAGTGGGGAAACGATTTCAGAGACTTACCTTGACCAAGAATCACGGTTGCATGTGAAAGTCTCTTCCTCCGATCACCTCTTTGCCGACTTCAACTTCCTCAAGTTACTCTCGGTCTCTCAGCTCTCGCTCCTCTCACTCTCCGTCTCTCTCTCTTGCTCTCTCCCTCGTTCTCCTTCTCTCTTTTCTTTTTGACACCGTATGAACTGAATCAGACGCGTGGATGACCAGCTGTATAACGGAGAAAGGATTCAGATGGCTGGAGGAGAAGGCAGCACGTGTGTTACAACATTTCTGGACCATTTTGCCCTCCAAAATAATTGTTTCTCCAATCTTATCCCTTCTCCTATTTTTCTGAAATATAAGATATATCCAGAAATTAAACCAAAATATCATAAATGGATTTTTCTTATCCATTAGCTTCTTTGACCCATAAAATAATTTCCCTAAAATTTTCTAGTTAATTAGAAACCTCTAAGTATTTTCTAAGAAAATAACCCATTTTGCTATGAAAATAGTATTAAAATCATTTAAGCCACTTTTTGGGGAATGGACTTTTCCAAAATATTTCTAAACCTTGAAAAATCAATATTCCATAATTTTTTCTAATTGTGATTAAGCTATTAAATAATTTTAATGAACTTTCTCTTTTCTGCTCATCCTGAGTCAGAAAATTCGGGGTGTTACAATGATTGGTGAAAAAGACTTGAAAATTACGTGAATAGAGAATTTTGATTTTGGCCAAATAGATTGCAAGACAATGACGTTTTTATGTTAAATGAAATGAAACCAAATTTTTTATTGCGCGTTATGCGTGCTTTGGCGGCTCTTGTCCATGGCAAGAGGTAAGATTCATAAAATCAATTTATTAGTGTCTTTGTTTAGTAATTTCCCCTAATTTTATTAAGTTCAAGTAGAAGATTAGAGTTATGAAATCAATTTATTTTATGAGATATATCAAGGAAAAAGTCTTTAGCAATTCAAGGATTTATTATATAGTCTTTATTTTTTTTTCGAATTTTTCCTATGCTTTATATATATTTTTTAATATAATTTTAAACAAAAATATGATAACAAGATTTTTTTAAAAACTTGTATAATTGATTTAAATTTTTTTTTTTTCATGAATTCACTAATGTGTGTGTACTCTGAGTGACTCAACAACAAGAGTAATCAGGAAATTAATCCATATACTCCATAGTTATTTAGGTAATTTATTTGCAATATATAAATTTTAAATTACAAAGATTACGGCCGATTAAAGTGACTTTGATATCAAAAAATGGATCTCAACCCATAATAATTGATTAATTTCAAGGGGCGTTATGGGAAGGGTCAAAAGTCATTTTTATCTATAAACATATAATTTTTATCTGTTGTACCCAAAAAAAAAAAACAATGGCAACATATACTTTCACTAAACATCCTTATACTACATAAAAATGAGTTTTATTAATTAGTCAGATTTGCAAGCAATAATACTATGTTTCCCAGTGTAGATTAAACTGATCAGAGACAATCAAAAGCTGCAAATTTTTGGGCAAAATGAGGAATATTGTGGATTTATTCTTGGTCTCTTTAATGGCGAATCTCAAGTTTCTGTTGCTTACAGCATTAGGCGCAGTACTAGCACTCCAACGTTTAAATATCCTGGGACACGAAGCAACTAAGCATATGAACGTTGTAAGTATTTTCACAAAATCATATTTATTGTTTGATTTTGAATACCCTTCATTACAACAAAATATAAAATCCATGAACTATGTTGTTTCTGGATAAGAAAATCTGTATAAATTATGAGCAACATAATTTATTTATTACCTCTGATCCTAATTATAAGACTTCGTTTTTAGTCTATGAACAAGGTTTTATAAATAGAACTGGAGGTAGTATTAGATTTCCTTCATTTATTAGATTTCCCACAATATATGACTACTACTACCAAATATGTTTTTTTAAAGCCTCTTTTCTACACCAATTATAGTAGGTATAGTATAGAAAGTTCGTACTTTTTACATCGGCTATATCCATACTAGTTGGAGAATAATTAATGTAGAAAGCCCTTCATAACGAACGGATCCAATAATATAAGGCCTGTTTGAAATAGCTTATAAGTAGCTTTTCAATTATAATTTACAAAATACAAAATAAATATGTGAGATGAGTTTTGTCTCTACTTATGTGAAACGTGCTTATAAGGATTTCTTTAAGCCAACCCAAACAAGCACATAATCTTTCTTGCGACTTTATAATAGTTGGGATTTAATTTGAACAGGTGTCATTCTATGTCTTCAATCCAGCATTGTATGTAAGCAACTTAGCTGAAACAATAACACGCAAAAGCGTGGTTATGTTGTGAGTGTAATCATAATTTGAATAGAGTTTTTTGTTCCATTAATAATTAAAATATATATCATTGATGATTAATTATATATATGCAATTAATTTAATGTGTAGGTGGTTTATGCCACTCAATATTCTCATGTCCTACGTTATTGGGTCAATCCTGGGTTGGATCCTTCTCAAAGTTGTTCACGTTTCTCATACTTTGAGAGGACTCGTCTTTGGTTGTTGTGTCGCAGGTAAAAACTTAGACATGTAACGATATATCTATAAGATTTGATTGAATAATGTCTATATATTAATTGGCTTATTGTTTTTATAATTACATATAACAGGAAACATAGGGACGTTAATGCTGGTTATAGTTACATCTATATGTGAGGAAAAGGGAAGTCCATTTGGAGATGGCAACGTTTGTAAGGATCATGCCTTAGCCTTCGCTTCTCTATCCTTCGCTGTATGTTTTCCTTAATTCTCTCTCTTAACTAATTTTCTTCACTTAACTAAATAAACTAACACTACCTTCAATTCTAAATACTCCTCCGCTCCTTAATATAAGACCCATTTAACTAATTTAATTAGATTAAAGAAGTTAGGTAAATTAGTTAATTATAAGAAATGTGACAGGTTTTTTTCTAAAATACCATAATCATCTTTCTTAATACCCCTCTTCCTCTTCTACTTAATTATGGTTGAGGGAGTATCCATAGGGGTAATTTAGAGAAAATTGATAAATAGAAATATGTCTTATATTTAGGATCAAAACTAACTCAACAATTGGGTCATATATTAAGGATCGGAGGAGTATAAGAGTTAGATTAATAGTTTACTTTCATAAGAGACGAGTGGTTTACTTTGACCTCAATCCATTTCGTCTCTCAAGTTTTTAAGTTAATCACATATTGATCTTTGAGATTCACATTCATAATACCGCCTCCGGTCCTTAATGAAAGAGCTAGATAATTAATTTGAGAATATTAAAAAATTAGTTAAGTTGGTTAATTATAATAAATATGTGTTGACTTCCCTAAACTATCCTATTTAATCATTTTCACTAGAGCCATCTGTTAAAGCAACTCCTTATAATTAATAGGAATATTTTACAGATATCATTATAAATTTAAGAGACAAAGTGTATTTGAAGTCTTATATATTTATGACTAAATCTAACTTGCAACTAGCTCTTCTTATATATATAAAGGACCACTGTAGCATATATATACACTTGTCCATTAATTTATTTCCTAGAATATCTTTTATTTTTATTATCATTATTGAGATTATAATGTACAAATGAACTTCAGATAGGAGGCATATACTTCTGGTCGTACGTATACAGAATAGTTCGGATAGTTCCAAGTCAGATCTGCAACATTAATTCTGACGATGATCCTACTCCTCCTCCATTGCCTTCTTCATCACTCTCAGATCCCATCACAGCTGACACAAAAAACAAGGTGTGGTCTTTCTTATATATGACCCTTAACTTCGTATAATTAAGATATCAGTAAATGAAATTACATATATTTACTCTTGCATTTTGATTCTTTAATATCTCGTGTTATGAGATGATATATAGGTGAGAAAATTGGTGGAAGAAATCAGCTCACTCATAAAGGATGTTGCTGGGAAGTTCCTCAACCTCAAGCCTCTTCTTGCCCCATCAAACGTCGCAGTGGTACGTATAGGACAGAACGAACTTGCACTTTCATTACAACTTTAAATGGATCCATCTCTGATATGCGTGTGTGTGTATATGCAGATTGTGGGGTTGGCAATTGGCGTAACCCCTCTACTTCGGAAAGCATTGGTTGGTCCAAGTGCTCCTCTCCATATTCTTCATGACACTGCTTCTTTGCTCGGGTAATCATTACTCATTGTACTCAATTTCATTCATTTACTGTTACTGTGGGTTTTACGTACACAGTCTCATCCTCATTTTAATGCAAATATATATATATATATATATATATATATATAAGATGAACATGGCCCTTATTTCACAAGTTAGTTGAATTCAATATATATATATATATGCTCTCTAATGCATATTTATAATTAAAGATCTGCATGCTTCTAGCTTTTTGTTTCCCGACACTGAACAAGAGGTAGATCGATAAAAAAGGAAGGAACCTTAGAGTATCTGAAATATACACATAAAGTGTTATGTGCCTTTGCTTATGTTGTTATTGATGAGATGGTTGCTTGCAGGGCTGCTTTTATTCCCACTATAACCTTGATAACTGGAGCAAATCTTCTCAAGGGTAATATAATGCCAATGAATATAAGTTTTGTTAGAAGAATGAAAGCCAGAATATTAACAGACATGCTGTGATTATATATATGTATATATATGAAGCAGGTTTAAGCAATAAATCGGATTTGAAGTACTCAGCTATATTGTTAATAGGAGTGATTCGTTACGTGATGATGCCCATAATGGGCGTAGCAATTGTGAAAGGCGGAGTTCGTGTTGGGATGATTCCATCAGATGAGCCTTTGTATCAATTTGTTCTGCTGCTTCAGTATTCTGTGCCTCCATCCATTAACATGAGTAAGTTTCATCGATTTATGTCTCATTTTATGATATATTCCCTCTGTTCGGTTCTATACACATCAGATACAATTTTTGGAATGACTTGATTCTATTTATAAGACGCCACTATGATGCTATTTATAAGTTACTTGTAGCGAAAAAAGTTTGTTCCTAAATATAAGTTACTTGTAAGGTAATTAATGAGCTTTTTTTCAATTTTACCCCTATTGACTTAATAAATACAACAACAACAATAACAAGCCTTATCTCACTAGGTGGGGTCAGATATAAATCACACGATGTCATTGTGCTCTGTTAACAACCTAGTCCTTAGATATGTTGTTTACTAGGAGATCTCTTTTAATGACCTCATTGAGTGTTCTTCTCGGTCTTCCTCTGTCCTTTTTTATGTGACTCCATACTGTTTGATCTACCCTCCTCACCAGGGCCTCCAATGGCCTTCTCTGCACATGTCCAAACCACCTTAAGTGATGTTCAACCATTTTCTCTTGGATAGGTGTCACACTGACTCTTGTTTTGATATTTTCATTTTGAATCTTATTTTTTCTTATATGACCACACATCTATCTGAACATTCTCATTTTTGCTACCCCAACTTCGTGCTCTTATTTTCCCTTTATCGCTCAACACTCACTACCGTACAACATAGTTGGTCTTATGGCAATCCAATAAAATTTTTCTTTAAGCTTTTCAAGTACCTTCTCATTGCAAATAACTCCAGTAGCCTTCCTCCACTTTAACCAGCCAGCTTGTATTCTATGAGAAACATCTCCATCAACTTCACCATCTTCATGTACAATGGATCCTAGGTACTTAAAAAGGAATGATTTGATCCCCTATCTTCACCTCCAAATCACCATTGCCTTACCTCCCCCCAAAATTACAATGCATATATTCTGTTTTGTTCCTGCTCAAGCAAAAACCTTTCGACTCCAAAGTCATTCTCCATAACTCTAATCTAGAGTTAATCTCCTCTTTTGATTTTACCATGATGATTATGTCATCTATGAAAAGCATGCACTTAGGGATTCTTTCTTGAACAAGCTCGGTTAGAACATCCAGAACAATATTAAACAAATAAGGACTCAAAGAAGATCCCTGATGTAGGCCAATTTTAATGAGAAAGTCCTTTGTCTCACCTCTAAGCATTCTTACACTAGTAGTTACCCCTTCATACATATCTTGTATGGCTTTGATATAAACAACCCGTTCACCTTTCTTTTTCAAAGTCTTCCAAAGTACTTCTTTTGGCACACGATCATAAGCTTTTTCCAAGTTAATAAAAACCATATGTAAATCCCTTCTTTTACTCCTATATCTTTCCATTAACCCCTTTAGTAAATATATTACTTCAGTTGTGGATCTCCTTGGCATAAATCCAAATTGGTTCTCCGAAATAGAAGTCTCCAACCTCAACCTATGTTTATTCACTTTTTCCTATAACTTCATCTCATGGCTCATAAGTTTTATCCCTCTGTAGCATGCACAGTTTTGAATATCTCCTTTATTCTTGTAAATAGGACCTAAATTCTTTTTATCCATTCATTTGGCAAATTCTTGAAGCGTAAAATTTTATTAAAAAGCTTGGTTAGCCACAATTCACCCTCCTCGCCTAAACATTTCTAAACTTCAATAGGAATACCATTAGGCCTAACAGCTTTATCATTGTCTATTTTCTTGAGAGCTGTCTTAACCTCTCCGATGCAGATCTTGTGGTAAAAAGCCAAATTCTGATCACCTTTACTAATTAGCATGTCCTGTAAGTTTTAAGTTGCACATTCGCTTCCCTCATTAAACAACTTATGAAAGTAAGCCTCCCCTCTATCCCTAATATCACTATCAGTAACTAGAACTTTATCATCTTCATCCTTTATACACTTCACTTGGTCCAGATCTCTCTTTTTTCTCTTCCTTTGCTTCGTAATCTTGTAAATATTTCTTTCCCCTGCCTTTGTTTCTAACTCCTTATAAAACTTCTTATAAGCTTTAGTACGTGCTTTACTCATTGCTCTCTTCGTCTCTTTTTTAGCCAAATGATACTTTTTCTAGTTTTTTGCACTATTGCACAAATATATAGCTCTAAAACAATCTCTTTTCTGTTTGACTTTCTCTTGCACACTCTTATCCCACCACTAAGTATCCTTATCTCTTTGACCACGACTTTTAGATTCTCCCAAAATTGCTTTAGCAATCATACGAACCCTCGTATTTCTTTGCAACTCCCAGGTCCCTTCCTCTAAAAGGGTCCTTTTGAAAAACTCTCATTTCTCACTGTTTAACTGCCACCACTTGATCCTGGGGTTTACCACTTGATGATACTTTTGTCTTATACTCTTAAAATATACATCAGGGATAAATACTCTACGTTGGGCAATCACCCCAACCCCAGGAATCACTTTGTAATTAGTACACAGTCTTCTGTTGGATTCTTAACCAAAAAGAAATCAATCTGTGATTTTGAGGCTCCACTACTCTTGTATGTGATTAAATGCTCCCTCGTTTCTTAAAACAAGTGTTGACAATCTTGAGATTGTATGCAAAGAAAAGTCAAGAATAGATTGTCCTCCATTATTAAGCTCCCCAAAACCAAAACCACCATGAGCCCCAGCAAATTGTCCTGCTTCCTTGTTGACATGTCCATTAAGATCCCTACCAATAAAATTTTTCTTCCTTCAAATGGCATGCTTTGAACCAACCCCTCCATATCTTCCCAAAACTTATCTTTAAGTTGTGCCTCTGCCCCAACCTGAGGTGCATAGGTACTAATGATATTGATAATATCCTTGCCAACAATTACTCTTAAAGATATTATTTTATCCTCAAACCTTTTAACCTCCACCACATTCTTCTTCCATATTCTATCAACGATGATACCAGTACCATTCCTTGCACTCACGCTCCCTGTGTATCAAAGTTTATACCCTCCAAATTTCATGGAAACCTCTCCAACCCATTTAGTTTCTTAGAAGCACAAGATGTTAATCCTTTTGTCCCTCATAACTCCTACTAGCTCTATAGCTTTCTCATTCAAAGTCCTAATATTCCAAGTGCCAAATTTAATGTTACTCTCATGAACTAACTTCTTTAGCTGCCTACTTCTAAAAGAGTGCGGTAGCCTTTGCTCATTTAACACTATATCCGGGTGACGATGCAACTGCTCTAACTCACTTCTCACTATACTCGAGCTATACAGTGCGTTACTTCTAGGTAATGACCTAGCAGTAGCATAATTACTTTGTTGATTCATGTTTATGAGATTTAACGGATTTTTACGTTAGCTGTCGAGGGCCTAACACAACCCTCCTCCTTTATCCGAGCTTGGGACCGGCTATACTATATAGGCAGAGTTTGACTTAATAAATACATAGAGAGATAAAGCAAATAGGTCAAAGAAATATATTTAATACCCTTTCTTTAATAAGAACAAATGTGTAAAAAAATTTATCAATTTAATGCATTTCTTGATTTGAGGGCTTAAAATACAAGTAACTTATAAAGAACAACAAAGTAGGACACTTAAAAAAAATGTCTGAAATTTTAACTAACCTTTTTCAATCTTACCTCCATAAATGGCATATCATATTAGTACTGCATTAAATTTTTCGAACACTTAATCTAATCTCCATAAATAAGGATACTTTTAGAAAATAAAATACACTCTTACACATTTTCTCCATCTGTCTCTTTTTACGGGAAACATTTGATCCAATCACAGATTAAAAAGTTAGTTAAAATTGGTAATAAAGAGAATTAGGGGGGAGTATAAGAGAGAATAAGAAAATTATTAAAATAAGGGGGTATTTGGATGGAAACCAAACTATTATTTTAAAAGTAATTTTATAGTGTATGAAGTAAATATATAAAAAGAATTTTATCTCGACTTACGTGAAAGTACTCTTAAAAGCACTTTCGAGGAAAACCAAAAACCGCTCAAAGAAATGATGGAAGAAAGAGAATATATGATAAAGAGAGATGAATTATTAATGCTTTAGAAAATGATATAATAAATATATTGACTATTAAAATAAGTAATTCATGGGGACAAAATAGGAAATAAGCTAAGAAAATTTGAAACATCTTACAAATGTCTTATAAATAAGGATAAGGTAGAAGTAATGGTTGTTTCTTATAAAAAGAGATGCTAGGAATATTTTCTTTAACGTATATCAATTAACAAACTTTTTGATTTTCATAATTCGGTTATTTTGTATCTTATACAGAGGACTGAAGGTAGTATATATAAATGAAATGTGATTAACTAATTGAAGGTTGATTGATTATATACTGATTAATTGAATATAATTGGCATGCAGCAACGATAGTTCAATTGAATGGAGTTGGGGAGAAGGAATGCTCAGTTATATTGTTAGCAACATATGTGGCAGCCCCAGTTGCTCTAACACTTTGGTCTACTTTCTTCATGTGGCTTGTTCTTGGTCAGCATCTCTGACTTTTATCTCTTAGCTCCCAGCATCACTTTACATAAAAATGAGATCCAAAGAGTCCCATTCCAAGAAAAGGGGAGAAAAAAAAAGAGCCTCATTTGTCTTGTGTGTACGTTTATTTCTTTAATTCCTTCATTTTATAGGGGGAAGAAAACTTTAGAGTAGTCTTCATACTTCCAGAGGATTTCATCATGCTCTTTGCGTAATTAAGCAAAGGATCAAAGATATGAGGGAAACGGACAAGACAAACCCATATATATGCCTTATTGCCTATTTCTGTGTATCCTATGGTTTAGTTCATTAAGTTTAATTTGTAGGAAGTTTCTTATACTTTATGTTTTAACGCCAAGGAAAAAGGTTGTGGCACTCAAACAAATTGAACAAAATAAATTATTGCACTCTTCCTGTCCTTAATGTAAAAACTATGTAACTAGTTTGAGTAAATTAAGCAAATTAAATAAATTACTTGGTTGTAATAAATTTGACCTGATTTAATCTTTAAAATACCTCTATATATATAACATTAAATTATATATTAGTTTATAAATTTATTAAATTGATTTAGAGAAAATATGATGTAAAATTTTACATTTAGAACAAATACCAACTTTCTTAACCAACTCATATTTTACATCGCAGGACTACGAATTAGGTGAAGTCCAACTCTGAAGTTTAGTACTAAAATTGTGACGAGTGCATCAAAGAATCAATGATACCGTCAAATATCTACAAAGATATAATGACGTTGCGAATTAATTAATGACATTTTTTTTTGTGTGACAATATTTGCAAATTTCATCACTAATTTGCTTTTTTTAAATAATATACATGAGCCAATTTAAATAAACAATCAGGGCGGTCCAAATGAGAACATACAAAATAATGCATCTTCCGTTATCATCTTCTGAGCTATTTTCTAGAGCTGAAAATAATCCCATATAATTGTGAGTTTTTTATTAGCATACCAATACTTATTAAAAAAACCAAAAAATATTACTTGCATTGTGCCAAGATACTTCTTATTGTAACAAGTTTATTCTTCAATTCAATTGGATTCTTCTTCTCGTTATTTTTCACATGCATTTAATGATGCACATGATAAGAAAAAGTAACTAATGAAACAAAATCAATAAAAGTATAAAGCTATAATCTTTTTCTTGTTTGACTCTTCAAACTGTGTGTGTATACACGTTGGCCACGAAAATTGGCTGTGTATATTTATATAAGAGAAGTTAATTAAAGTCAAAGATAAATGAGAATTAATTTTGAAAAAATATATATATATATATCTCTTCTGTATTCTTTAGACGAACATGACTCAATCACTCCACGCAGTTTTCTTCCTTGTAATTAGTTAAAACCAGTAAGAATTTTATCAATTCCTTGATGAACTTTTCTTCAGCGATAGAGGAAACAAAAAAGACAACGTGCAAATTGATATTGTACTATGCAATCTAAATGCTTCAAGTCTTGTGTGGTGAATTTGACCTCCTTTTATGAAGTACTTTGGAAAAGACAGATAACCTAAAAGATAAATAATTTTATTTATTATTTTTTCGTTTAAAGGAAACATATTTTTTAATTATCATCTTAAAAGCAATAAATTTAGAGTTTAAATAATTTATATCTCTAAAAATTTAGCATAACATCAGATTGACGAAAGAATAATCCCAGTATTATGGGGTGAAATAGTTAATATTTTTAAAATTGAAATGTACTGCCAGAACTTCCAATTAGATAAGAAAAGTAATGATTGAAACAAAATTAACACAAGTATGGCGCTAAAATATTTTTCTTGTTCGTCTGTTCGTATTGTCTGTGTGTGTCTGGAAATACACACACACACACACATATTCAAGTGAGAGAATTAAAGTCAAAATAATTGAGAGTTACTTTCAAAATACACGAACATGAATGAGTACACAGGACTCAAAATAATCAATCTACATATATATTGTCCATTCTTAAAATTAGTTAAAACTAGTAAGAATTTTATCAATTCCTTAATGAAGTTTTATCCAAGAAGAGAAGAAACCATAAGAAGGCTCTACGCGCAAATTGACATAATATATTACAAAATATTTTATGTCTTCTTGGTACGTAATGCTTTTTTGAAAAAGAAAGTCGTGATGAAGAAATAACTTGTGAGGCACGAAGATGAAATTTCGTATATTTGTAAATGTAAGGTTAAAAAATAAAAAGGGAGTGGGTTAAAAGTTAAAACTAATGCACTTAAAAAAGAAAATATTAGTCAAAGTCTGAGGTAATGTAGAGAAAAGACAACCAATAATAACCCTAGTAGTATACGTACTATCTAACATACGTTAAATGAAACCTAAACTGAGGTAATGTGACGGCTTCTAATTGTTTTGATACAATTAAGGAGAGGGCCAAAGGTCACTTTCGTTTCATTCAATTTGAATATAAACTAAAGGTAAGCATAGTAAAAGATTAGCTGTAATTAGTTTCTGGTTTGGTGGCTAGCTAGTTAACGCACAACTTGTTCGTACTAGTTAAATTGTCGGCTAAGATAATAATGTTTTGATCTCTCTAAATTTTATTTATCGATTTTAAATTAGACTTTTTCACCCAAAAAAATAAATAAATAAATTAGTCGTTTATTTAGAGAGTTTCAATATAACTCCATAGATACGAAGCATTTCAAATATTCTCTCAAATAATCATCAATAGTAACTTAAAAATATAAAGTTCTTGACAAGATATATATTATCCATCGTGCAACACAAGAAAAATATTTGTATATAATATAATTATTAATTTTAATAATAATTATTATGTAATTTTCTCTTTGGGCAAGTTAAAATGATGGTGTTAACCCATTGCAGGGATGGAAGACGATATATTAATATCCTCATGCAATAAATAAATAAGTAAATGATAAATTAAGATATTAGAATATTATTTGAAGCTAAATAATATACATAATATTTACCAGTTATATTACTTCAACTTTTAGTCTGGGGAATGTTTACTTGGCTTAGGGTATAGGAACTCCCACCAACTAAATAGATGTTAGTTGTATCTTCTATTGACTATTTAGAAACCCTATTCCTTCAGAATACTTTAAACCCGTCATCAATCTCTGACCATTAAATTTTTTTTTGGAAAAATAAAAAAACTCACCATCATTATTAATCATAACACATTACTTGTTCTTTGGACTTTTGTTATATAAAGCCCTCTCAGTCTCAGTCCCACCCATCTCATCTCTCCCACACCCTCCATTTTGATTTCCCTCTGATATTACTTACTTAGTCTCCAACAACAATGGCGACTGCGAGACCTTACTGTTCCTTTCGTTTGAAATATCTTCATCATCTCAATAAGACTATTGCTGGCCTTCTTGTTCTTGTTCTTGTTCTTACTAGTTATAGATGTGAGGCTTCTGAACTCAGACTTGATTACTATGCTTCGTCTTGCCCTACTGTGTTTGATGTTATTCACAAGGAAGTAGAGTGTGCTGTTCAATCTGATCCTCGTAATGCAGCCATGGTTCTTCGTCTTCACTTCCATGACTGTTTTGTCCAGGTCTGGTGATTTCTTTCATTATTACTTTGCAGTATTATTTAACTAACACACACACACATAAGTTGTAAATATATATACGTATATATATGGTAAGTAGTGATGTGTATTCAGAATTTGAGAGTGGGATCTGGATCTGGATCCTCTAAATTAAGTAGTTTGTGAGTTTAACGTAAAATATTCCAAGTTTATCACCCTATAGTTACACAAACACACAAAACATAATTTATATATAATACAAAGTACTTTGCATTATTCAACCTCAAATTTCAGAGACCTCAACTTCAGGATCTAGATTCACAGAATGTGTGCGTAATAATAATATATTAGCAAGTTATTTAGTCCTGCCGCGTAGTAGGCTGATGATCTATTTAGCAGTGATACACACACCACACATTGTGTGCGCGCGCGTGTTGTATTAAATATGACATACTTTGTTGGTTATTTGTTGAGGTGTTTTGCTTTACATCAGTGCAGGTTCTTTGACATTTATGGGTAATTGTAGAATATTTCAAATGACAGTACTAGGAGTAGGTATATATCTCTGCGGGTGTGTGTCTGTTTGTGTGTATATATCTAGGTACTAGGTTATCAACATGATGACAATTATTTATGCTTTAATTTTTTTCTTCACCTAATACATAAACCATACCCACACACACACCACACAGAGCAAGGCAGTTAATCATATGTATTTATAATTTTAAAGAGAATATGTATGGTGGAATATATATGATCAGGGATGCGATGGATCCGTTTTGCTGGACGATACAGTGACACTAAAAGGAGAAAAGAAAGCGTCCACAAATATCCATTCTCTGAAAGGCTTCGGTCTGATTGACAGAATCAAGAACATGGTGGAATCAGAATGCCCTGGAATTGTCTCTTGTGCTGATCTTCTCACTATTGCTGCTAGAGATGCTGTCGTTCTGGTATATATACATACATATATACACACACACACATATTATATACATTATATATATAAGGAAGAAGAATCACAGTTACGTACGTCCAAAAGTGAATTTAACCACCCAACTTCCTTTTTTTCTTTTGCCTGAAAATGAGTTGCAAATATCGATTCAAACAGCTGTACAATATGAAGTCTCAATTATAAATAGGACACTTGACTTTAATTTGAGCTTGTCTGAGATTTCTGTTTACAATTGTTTGGAATCAATATTTGCAACCTGTTTTTCAAAAAAGTTCTTTCAGGAATCTAACTGTGACTAATTCAACATTTTGGGAACCGATTTTAGCACCCATCATTGTGATGAGATATGCACTGTTCAAATATAATTTCAACTGTCTAGATTTAAAATTTTCAACTAATAATTTTTTAAAATTATGTTTGAAAACTGATCATTAATTAAGACGATTATCTTTATTTCAGATTATGTACACATGAAATATTTTTTTTTTTAAAAAAATTCAATGTGAACCATTCAAATTTATTATTAGATCTGCAAGGTGTACAGTGGTGATGAGTTTTTGGTACTCATCAGTGCATTGAGCACGGAAACTCATTAGGTAGAAAAATGAACATAGATTCCTCTAATTTGTTGCAGGTTGGTGGACCTTACTGGGATGTTCCTGTGGGAAGGAAGGATTCTAAAACTGCAAATTTTGCACTTGCAAGCACCAACCTTCCAAATCCAGGTGACAGCCTTCTCTCCATCATTTCCAAGTTTCTCCATCAAGGCCTATCAGTCACTGATATGGTTGCTCTCTCAGGTAACCATCCATCATCATCAATTTGTGTTCTTCATCACTGCACAGATCATTAATTAATAATCTTATTTCTTCCATATCTTATCTTACTTTCTGATCACAAAACCTACAGGAGCCCATACGATCGGCATGGCACGGTGTCAAAGTTTCCGGCCGAGGATTTACGGCGACTTCGAGGTGACTTCTGAGAAAGATGCCGTCTCTGAGAGTCACCTGAGAGATCTGAGATCCATGTGTCCACTGACAGAGGGAGGATCAACAGAAAATAACGTAACAGCTATGGATTATGTCACCCCTAATCTCTTTGACAATTCTTATTACAACTTGCTTCTGAAAGCCAGGGATTGCTTAACTCAGATCAAGAACTGTATTCGAGTGTGTTTGGGATTCAAACCAGAGAGCTTGTTAAGAAGTATGCTTTGGACCCTCTTGCTTTTTTTCCAGCAATTCTCAGATTCCATGGTGAAGATGGGGAATATTGTGAACCCGAAAGCTTTGTTGATGGAGAAGTCAGAACGAATTGCAGATTTGTTAACACTTGAAGTTCACTGATCTGAGATTGGTTTTCGTGTTTTGTTTGTTTAAAAAAACACAGAAAAAATGTTTGTGTTATTTCTCTTCGTCGTAAGCAAGTAAAGAGTCAGAAAGATGAAGTTCAAAATTGTTCCTTTTTTTTTTTTTTAACATAGTTTAATTTAAATATTTATACAAATTGTTCTGATGAGGTATATTAATTTATAAAGCCTTTTCTTTCCTTCCTTTTTATTTTTTGATTTTTGCGATAAAGCCTTTTCTTTAGTTTTATCTGAAACATTCCCCAACATTTTATACGCAGGGCAACAAGTGATTTTACTAACATTCTATTATTTGCTCTGAAAGTGCAAATTTGCTGCGATAATTTAAAATTATAGTAACTTTGCCTCCTATCATTAAAAATTTAATGTTAACTATTAAAATAGTGATATTAATTATTAATAATTTTAAAAATACTATCATTTTAAATTTCTGGAATAAAAAGGACAATGGATGATTTATGATCTTTGAAACCTTCAGACTTTGTCTAGATCACGAGAGAGAGAAATGGGAGGGGAAAAGGGGACCAACGGTTAAAATTTTTTCCCCCCCCCTTCAAATTAAATGGGCAGGAGAATTTAAAGAAAAAAATGGTTAGTGTTGAAGGACAATAATATAATATACATATAAAAGGATTAAGATCCATTAATTTTCTTTTCTTTTCTTTAATCACCTTTAAAAAAATGTTTTCCCCCCCTATAATTTGTACTACATAGAGAAGAGAAAACCTTTGTGAAAAATAACGTAGACATGCCTCTTCATTCCTCTAATTTTCTTTAACAATTCAAATATGTGAAATTTTTTTTTCTTTGGGCTTATCTCCTTTTTGTGATCTCTCTTTCCTACTTTGCTCTGTCCAAAAAAAAAAAAAAGAAGAAGATCCATTGAAGGTCATATGGGCTGTGGATGGGGAAAAACAAAATCAAGACACTTTACTTATTTGAGTCCAAGAACACTCATCTCAACACATGATTTTGGGCTTACCAAAAATTCTTATATAGAGCCATGAGCCTCAACTGGGCTAATGGCCTAAAAGCTCCTTATAAGTACGAAATTGTGGGTTATTTTCTGCCGTGCCAACATTATTCATACAACCTCTAGTTTTAATTATAAGATTTCGTTATAATTTGTAAATAAGATCTTATAATTTGGATCGAAAGTAGTATTATGTAAACTTTTTCCTCACCCACTTACGTCGTCTAAGCTTTTTATTAGATTCTTTTGGATATTGGAAGAACTTTATGTGACTCTATTGGTTTTGGCAGACGCAAATAGATTAATTATATATAATATATATATATATTTAATTGATGTGACTAAATTGAATTGTATATGAATTGTAAGGAGAATAAGCTTACAATTTTGCTTTTTTGACACAGAACAGTAACAGGGGGAACAACTAAAGTTTTAAAAAGGCGGAAATGGAGAGGCCAATTAAAAATGTCAGCGGATCACGGCTTTTGGTTCAATCAGTTAGGCTGAAACAGCGGACCAATGAGATAATAATTAAATAAAAAGTAAAATATACTGGCTTTTTTTTTTTTTTTATCTCAATCATATAAACCTCTCATTTATTTTAAAAACATATATAAACTTCTTGAAATTAAAACATATGTTATACAAATCTCCCTTCTATTTAAGATTCTATTTCTGTCTATTCAAATCATTAGTTCACTATTAATTTGATTTTAATTACTTTTTGACTGAAACGCCCTTTTTAACTTACTAATTATTTAGAGATTTATATTTTACATAAAATATTTTTATAAAATCAAAAAATAATTCCAATAACATATATTTTATAAAATTTCTAATATTTTAAAGTTCATTGATTTTGATTAATCATAAAATTTTATAATTTTAATTTTTTTATCACATTCATTAAAATTATTACTTTGATTTCTTTTAATGTAAAAACATATTTCAAATACATAGTTTTTGTTTATCATAAAGTTTAAATGATATAAGTTAAAAGATTTTTATAATTATCTAAATTTTATATTCAAAATTTTTAAAAACAACTCTTTGTTACAAAAATTCATAAACAGATTTAGGGTGTGTTTGGATGAAACCAACCGTGGTTTGGAAAAGTGATTCTGGAGAATAGATTTGGGGAGATAGATTCTGTGAAGAATAGATTTGTAAAAAAGTGATTCTGAGAAGTGAGAGTGTTTGGATAGTTGTTATCAGAAGCACTTTTTATATATACAAATTACTAAAAAAAGACATAAGTTATATGATAATTACAGAAAAATAGATTTTATGATATATTTTAATTTGAAGGAATAAAATTGTTAAATATATTTTTTACCAACATAATTAATAATACATAAGATAATATAATTAATAAATAATTAATGTGTATATATATTTATAAATATAAGATAAATATTTTTTATCAAAAATATTTAATAAAAAATAACAAGATACATATCATATAGGCTCTCACACTCTCCCTTTTTTCTCCAAAAGCAAAAAAATTTTGCTTTTTTCCAAAACCATGGTTTTGGAGTCAAAACCATGTTTTGACCCAAACCATAGTTTTGGTTTTTAGAGGGGGTGTTTTGGGTGATTGACACCCCAAACCATGGTTTGGGTCCCCAAACCATGGTTTGGATGTCACCCAAACACACCCTTAGCCAAGTATATATATTTATTAAAAAAATTAGTTAAATTTTTAATCAAATATTTTATATTTGCTTTAATTGAATAAAATTTGTGGTAGCTATAAGAATATAAGTTAGGAATTTATTAGGATGAGCAGTAAAATAGTAAATAAAATTTATTATAATATAATTTTTAATTAAAAATAATATTTTGAGAATTTTTTTATAATATTCCTAACGCTATTAACTGATTAGACTAAACTATATGTTTTTAAACTAGATAAGTGGTATGTGTAATTAATGCAAACTAGAAAGATAGTAGAGTATTTTACTCTCAAATAAAACATAGTATCATATGTGTACATAATATTATGTGTAAAAAAAATAAAATATCAAATTATTAAATAATTTTTTTTAAAAAAAAAACTTAAATAGTTCAATCTAATATGATCATACGATAATAATATGTCTAACAGCTCATAAAATCATTGAAAGTGATAATATACTAAAAGCATATTACATGTTTGACTTCATATTAATTATTATAAATTAAAATAAAAAATAACAACATAAATTAATATGTGTTTAATTGTATGCTAGTTATTTTGATTAAAAATAATATAAAATAGAGATTTATAACAGTGAATATTAGATAATTAAAAAATAAAGATTCTTCTACTGTTGTTTATATAATTTAGTTAAAGTTAGCTGTTGTCTTCCGAATTTATTGTCTTTTGATTTTTAAGATGGATGAAGATGATGTTTTTTGGCATTTAATTTGTGACTTATATTTGGGACCATATATAAATGGTATGAGCAAATTATACATACTAATTTAAATCATATGTTTTTATGATTATGTTTTTTTTCTTGCTGGCAAAATTTTTTTTTCTAAAACTCTTATATAAATTAAAAATGTTTTTCTCATCAAAATAAATATCATTTCGAGTTGTTTGGTGCAACATAGGAACATTTTCTATCAAAAGATGAGAACCGCCCCCCCCCCAATTTTATAGTTTATAAATAAAATAAAAACACCATCCTTACTTTTTTCCCCCTTTCCTTCAAATCACTTTTATAAGTTTATGTATTAAACAATCTTTAGACAATACATACGTCAAATTTCTTATATTTATTATATTAAATCCTTTAATTACATATAATTATGTGTTCTATTTTTAAAATATTAACAGTTAATAGTATTTAATATATGAAACAAAAAATCACACGCAGCCATAAATAAATGGAGAATTTTATATAATGAATATAAGAAACATGACCTCAGTTTTTTCTACAACCTTTAAGGTAATTAATTACATTCGGAAAAATGAAATTATATTGAAGTGCTTCATAGATGTTTCAAATTAAATGGGATGAACTGTGGAAAATAATACTTATTCTATAAGAAATAAGTTATAATTGTATAACTATCACTTGAATCTTATAAATAGGTTTGGAGGTAGTATTAGTTAGCTCTATCTTAAAAATATTTTTTTTTGTTTAGTGTGCCTTGAATCGTATTACTTGTAGTTATAAAAAAAGAATTTTTCATTACAAAATTTAATAAGTTTTCCGGAAAAACAACAGAAATGTTGGGGGAAAACAGGTTAAAAAAAAAAAACAAGACTCGTTCAATTCTTCCTTGTCAAACTAAATTTGTTATTTCTTTACCCAAATTCAAACCCAAACTTTACATCACATTTGGAATGTTAGTTTGTCATGACTTTTAATTTCCATTTAAAAACACACATCCTTCAACACAAAGACCATACATATTTAAGTCATTTTCTCACACATCACATTTGAGGAAATAACCATAAATTTTATCCCTTTTAATTTGGTCTTCTATTGCAAACTAGAAAAAGAAAAAAAAAAAGGTCTGTTCATCATAGGTAGAGCAATGATTTTATAACATTGAGGTGAGTGTTATTATTATTTTAGATAATATTAAGTTTATTTCTGACTACTATTTTCTTAAAATAAAATTGTATAAAACGTAGTTCTTTCCTGTTTTCCAGCACAATTTTACTTATTTACAAGGTCTGAGCCTCGATTTAAATAATATTGAATTTCCTCCATATTGCCGAAGCACTTCTAACATACATAATTGCAACTTTTGCATATACTCCCTCCAGTCCTTAATATAGGACCTAATTATTGAGTTAGTTTTGGTCTTAAATATAAGACTCATTTTTTATATTTATCAGTTTTCTCTAAATTACTCCTACTCCTATAGATACTCCCTCAACCATAATCAAGTAGAAGAGGGAGAGTGGGTATTAAGAAAGATGAATATGGTGTTTTAGGAAAAATGTTTACTTTTTTTTTATAATTAACTAACTCACCTAACTTTTTTAATCTAATCAAATTGGTTAAATATGTTTTATATTAAGAACAAG